AACCTTAAACAAATGAATCAACCTCAATGCCTGCCCTCTGTCTCCTTCCTTTTCTTGCAGAACTGTCTACTGACAAGTCCATTCGAAGATATTTTCAAGCAATGCCTACGGACAATTATCGAAGGGACGCGAAGGTCAGAATTCAGCGGTAGACAGAGCCATAAGCTTCTTAGGTTTCTCTGGGGCTTCCCATTAAGAAACTGAAAGTGATTCAAAGTACTGATATTTCCTAGATCTGATGCAACTCTTGAACTTGAAGTGCATAGACGCCGAGTTAAGGACATCTCTGTAGAACACAAAGATAAACATACTTGAAAGGAGAGGCCACGTGGACATCCGCTCTTCCCTTTCTCCTTTGCTTTTTTCTTTTCTCCCTTTTGTGCAAACTCATTCCGTGGGAATCTTCCCAGCTGATTCTGAGAAGTGTCTGATGACCCACAGCACAATCCCAGGAGGCCCCAAGCATCTCGTTGTGTGAGTGAGTGTGTTGGGCTGAGCCCGAGCCCTTCCCCTGGGTCAGAGCTTTCCCCCGTTTCGGGGGCCCCGCTGACGGCTGTAGTGGCCACAGTGGACACTCAGGGAGGGTGCGGCTCTTGAAGCCTTGCCACAGACCCAGGGAGGGGCAGGAACTATGAGAGGTCACAGCAGTAATGAGAGGGCTGAGCAGTTCTAATTTGAGGGGAAGGCACTATTCCAGGAAGAACTTAAAACTACCAGTAGCAAGTTACTCAGGAAGCTGACATCCTCATTTCCTGTCTCTTTTCCTCCAGTGCCAGGGTTTGAAAGAAATTGGTATAGGTGACGGATCTTCTCTGGGGATTTGCTTGCCTGTAGCTGAGCTCATAAAAAATAAACATTCTGGAGCTAAGCCTTTAAAAGCAAGTCTGTAACAAAGGTGGGTTTTAAAACAAGATGTATCGTCTTCCACCTGTTGGCCATGAGAACTGATCCCAGGGCTGATCAGTGGTAATACAGCTTCTCGTACCACAGTGTGGGCCAGTATGGTGGCCTCATGGACTGGGGAAGACAACCCCAACTCACACAAGCTGGGGCACTTGAGTCATGCCAGTGAGAGCCTGTGGCTGGATCTGCCCCTTCCTGTAGTGAAGGTAACAAGTGCCTGTGCTCTGGCCTCCCGGGTGTGTGTGACTCATGTTCACCAGACCCAGAGAGCACCGAGCGCTAAAGTCTAGAAAATGGGAGCAAGGCTGGTGTTCGTTCTGTGTCAGGCCTCCTCGGGGTGGGCAGGGACGCTCACAGTGTCCCGGCATTGGCTGGGTGCTTTCAATTTAAGTTTGGGCTCTGGTTTTGGCTCCTAACCCCATGTGGCATTGACAGCAGTGGGACAAACAAAGAACAAACCGGCATTGTTACTCCGGGGGCACACACCCAGCACCACCAGGCACTTCATCAGCAGCCAGCGTGTGCCTGGGGGGAAGGGGAGCCACCCTGCCCTTCCCAAAGCAGTATGTAAAGGGTCTGCTTTTGGGGAATTTATTTTTATTCCTGAGAGGTCAGAAATGCAGCGCATTAAGCTGACTTATCAGTGAGAGCCAGAGCCAGAGGGGAAGCACCTCTTCCCCCCATGGAGCTGAGCGCAGCCCACGGGCTCCTGTCTTATTTCACAGAGCGGCTGCAAGGACCCTCCCACCATGATGTATGAGGTTGTGCAATGCTCAGCATAGTCGGAATTTTCTTTTGGGTCCCTCCCCCTACAGCCATCCTGTCACCATGAGCAGGAGGGCTGTTTCCTCCGCAGCTCTTGCCCTTCCAGCGCCTCCACTGAGACAGCAGGCCCCTCCTCACGGGGGCCCACTGCACCTCCACCCGTGGTGTCCATCACAGACTGGGAGCCCTGGGCGTCTGGAGCACAGATCCTCCCATTTAGCTTCCCCACAGCATGTTTGCCAGGCTCCAGCACCCGGGGTGGTAGGTAGGCCTGGATAATTAAAGGGAACTTTTCAATGTCAAAGGGACTACAACTAATTTGCAAACTCTCTGGTCTCAAGGTTCTGATTTTCTGTTGTGGAAATCTAGCTTCACACTTGGAGCATGTGTGACAAACAAGTGACAAGTGTGACAACAATCATCACCACCTTTATCTGTATGAGAGGCAGCCCCGTCCCTGGACCCTCCTCTGGGAAGGCCAGTGAGAGGGCCAGCCGCGAGAACTCTGGGTGGGTGTTCAGCGTGCCCCAGAGTAGCAGGTTATGCCCATTTGGTTTATAATAGGCCCCTCTGCCGAGCACAGCTGAGCGAGCCAAGGAAATAGTATTTTTGTTCCTTTTTCTCTTGTGTGGCTGAGAACATGAGCAGTTGGCCCCTAGAGTTAAGGGTTTTTTCTTCACTTATAATTTATAACCCTAGACATTCTCCTTCTACCTCCATCAGAGGAAATCTCCTTCTACCTCCATCAGAGGAAATCTCTGCGATCTATGCTCTTGCTGTTGCTGTTAAATATTCCTCTCATTTTTGCAAGACCATCTGCCAAGAGATACCCCGAGGGCATTGCTCCCCTGTGCCAGAGGGCGTAGCTCCGCAGGAGGCTTTGGTTTCAGCTCTGCTTCTGAGGCTCGGATTCTCTCTAGATCTGCTATTTGTCCTGGGCCACCTGGGCCTCCCCACAGGGGGGTGCGTGTAAATGTGAGCACTCTTTGGCTCAGTGTCCTTGGGAGAAGCACCCCTCCGTAGAAGAGATCTGCTCTGGTAGTCCCTGAAGGAGGGCCTTGTATTAAGCACCGACGTTTTATATCTCCCTGGCTGTCCTAACTCAGCTGCTCCCATTTTTCTCTCCCTTCTGGTGACTTCTGACCGAGCAGCTCTGGCTCCTGCCTCGTCTTCGTCCCGTCGCTGAGAGACGTGCACCACGAGGCCGTGTACCCACAGCCGCCTTTCAGCTACTCCGATCTGCCTCACGAGGACAAAACGGTACAGCATCCTCTCCCTGACCCGTGGGCAGCCAGAATCCAGCGTTCCCCCGGTGCCCTGGCTCTGTCCACGGGGTGGAGGGTACAGGTGCCTTTTCAGGGCGTGCGAGGGAAGGCCTCACTCTCAGGCTCTTTAACAGGCATGTGTGCTGGTAACTTGCTGCACATCAGTTTGGCCCCCCTTTGAGTGGTCTCCCCAGCTCTTGGTGACCCCCACCTTTATGGGAAAGAAGTTTCTAGCTCTGGTGTGCAAATATTTGTTTCAACTCTTTCTAGCGAGTGCACTTGGTGTCCGAGCCCTGCAGCATCTCCATAAATGGGGTGACCTTTGGCTTGACATCCACGGATCTGCTGTTCCACATGGGGGCCGAGGAGATCAGTTGGTAAGAAGCATATTGGTGTCCACCAGGCAGAACACATGCTTTCTAGATTATGGTCCTTTCCTCAGCCAAGAAAATCAGGGGGCTGCTTGACAGAATCTTGACCAGTGGTCCTTAGAGAAGCATTTGTGCCAAACCCTTCAGCCTTTCAAGCTTCTCTGTACCCAGGCGTCACAGTTGCAGGCATTTGTTTCTATTATCTCTCGTCTCATCAGCGTTTAAGACCCTAAGGAACCACATCCATCTGTCTCTGCACTTATTGTCGTAGAAATTCATCTGCTTTTCTTCACCTCCATGTCTGTGACCTGCACAAGAGTGGGTGTGCCTGTGTGTGGAAGGTGAACTGTGAGCTCACGCTGCAGGGTGCTTGCCTCACCAGACTGTGCAGTTCTGTGGGGGAGCAGACCCTGCCAGATCTGCTGAGCTCAGGTCTGGCAGTTTCATTCTTCCATCACCAGTGACAGGAAGGAGTGTGAAGCAGTCCGTGTGTTAAGCGAGATGGGTGTGTGCTCCTTGGCTGAGGTTTGAGGTGCAAGGGTCGCCTGGCTCCACGCCTGCCTCGCGCTAGTGCAGGCTGCATGTCTTGCACAATACGATGCTGGCTAATGGCCTGCCTCTGTCTTGATCGTGAGGGATGCCTTCTCAACCCAGCATCCAGCTGCTCCCCTTCTCACGTGGGGACAGACCAGGCTGTGTGAGTGTGGGTCCGTAAGCTTCCCTGGAGGCACCCTGTGATCACTACACCTCGGCCACATAGCTTCTCTCCAGTTCACTACACCCTCGAGTCCTCCCAGAGAGAAACAGGAGCAGAAAACAAGGTCCTGTGTTCCATTTCTTGCTTCTCTTCCTTTCCCAGTTCTTCCGGCACTTCAGACAGATTCAGCCGAATACTCAAGCACATCCTGACCCAGAGGAGGTGAGCCCGCTTGCTGGAAAGCTGAGCACGAACACAGCGCTTTGGGGCCGTGTTACTCTGACAGATCTGACTGTGAGAGCTGCGCAGGCCACTGCCAGGGGCGGCCACTGGGCCTGACAGGCCTGCGTTCTCTCCCTCAGACGGGAAAGGAAAAGACGGTCTGTGAATGCTCAGAAAGCAGTGGTGGGGAATCCCTCTGAGGAGGGGATCCCCGAATCCGCTGCTGCTAACGGTTTCTCTTCCATCCCTGTAGCTACTACCCGCTCTACCCTCCCCAGGAGGACATGGCCATTGACTATGAGAATTTCTGTGCCTATGCACAGCTGCCTGTCACCCCAGATATCCTCATTGTCCCATCAGAGCTGAGGTACTTTGTGAAGGTAGGTTTAAACTCTGCTTTTCCCAGAAACTTCAGAACCAGTCTGTGAGTTTCCCTTCTAGCCGACCAGCACTTAGCCCTCCTGGGTCTGCAGATGGAATGGTGGCCTCGCTTCTCTGGGGGCTGGTACAACTAGAAAACAAACCTGTTAGTAAAACACCTGAGTAAAGGGCGTTCCTGTGCTTTCGCCTGGCTCCACGCCTGCCTCGCGCTAGTGCAGGCTGCATGTCTTGCACAATACGATGCTGGCTAATGGCCTGCCTCTGTCTTGATCGTGAGGGATGCCTTCTCAACCCAGCATCCAGCTGCTCCCCTTCTCACGTGGGTACAGACCAGGCTTTGTGAGTGTGGGTCCGTAAGCTTCCTTGGAGGCACCCTGTGATCACTACACCTCGGCCACATAGCTTCTCTCCAGTTCACTACACCCTCGAGTCCTCCCAGAGAGAAACAGGAGCAGAAAACAAGGTCCTGTGTTCCATTTCTTGCTTCTCTTCCTTTCCCAGTTCTTCCGGCACTTCAGACAGATTCAGCCGAATACTCAAGCACATCCTGACCCAGAGGAGGTGAGCCCGCTTGCTGGAAAGCTGAGCACGAACACAGCGCTTTGGGGCCGTGTTACTCTGACAGATCTGACTGTGAGAGCTGCGCAGGCCACTGCCAGGGGCGGCCACTGGGCCTGACAGGCCTGCGTTCTCTCCCTCAGACGGGAAAGGAAAAGACGGTCTGTGAATGCTCAGAAAGCAGTGGTGGGGAATCCCTCTGAGGAGGGGATCCCCGAATCCGCTGCTGCTAACGGTTTCTCTTCCATCCCTGTAGCTACTACCCGCTCTACCCTCCCCAGGAGGACATGGCCATTGACTATGAGAATTTCTGTGCCTATGCACAGCTGCCTGTCACCCCAGATATCCTCATTGTCCCATCAGAGCTGAGGTACTTTGTGAAGGTAGGTTAAAACTCTGCTTTTCCCAGAAACTTCAGAACCAGTCTGTGAGTTTCCCTTCTAGCCGACCAGCACTTAGCCCTCCTGGGTCTGCAGATGGAATGGTGGCCTCGCTTCTCTGGGGGCTGGTACAACTAGAAAACAAACCTGTTAGTAAAACACCTGAGTAAAGGGCGTTCCTGTGCTCTCCTCTCCCCCCACCCAGAGCAAGATGCCCAGAAAACCTAGCCTGGGAGCCCCAGAGGCAAGCAGGAGGCCCTCAAAGCACGGTTCTCATGCGGGGCTGTGTCAGGGTGACTTGGGGGTCGTTTCATACATACTCTTGCCTGTGTCGTCACCCTCCACCCCTCAGCCAAATTCTGATATGACCTCCAGGCCAGCCCAGCCTGGAGGAGGTGCTTGGCTGTCCTCATCTCTGCCCACCTGGGGACTGGAGCCCTCACAGGGAGTCCACCAGCCTGCCCACCTCTTGCCAGACAGCCAGTTCAACCTCAGGAGGTAGATTTTCTTTCATGTTAGAAAATAACCAGGTCGGGTGTGTCTCCAAGTTCGGGAGGAGATAATCACGCCTCCAAGTCACCTTCTTCATTTTGTTTCAGAGACCCAAAAGGAATTCCCGGTTTTCCAATAGGTTAACATATTTGACTTAAGATAAGTTCGGCTGCCTTCATTCCCATTTTATAAAACCCTCTTGGGGTCTCACTGTTAGATGCCTCCAACTTTTTTCCCTTCCAAACCCCCAGTCTCGTCTCCTTCCCCAGGACATCCTTGGCTGTGTCTGTGTCAATCCCGGGCGCCTCACCAAGGGGCAGGTGGGGGGCACCTTTGGCCGACTCTACTTCAGGAGGCAGCGGACCCCCGCGCGGGAGGAGAGGCAGTGTCCGTGTGTTTCCGCCCAGGTGGTCAGGATCTGAGGCGTCTGTACTTCACATCCTTGCACACGGCTGAGAGCCCAGGAGTAGCCCTCTGACAAGATCCAACTGTTGGAGGATAAAGAGGAGGCAGCCGGCAGGGAGGGGCTGCCCAGCTGGACCCTGACTCTGGGTGAAGCTTCTTTGGAAGAAAGCTTGTTTTTTCATGGACGTGCAGAGTCCAGAGTGAACTGGCCACGGATGCAGTATGCTCAGAAGAGGCAAGAAGGCTTTGTGACTTGCTGTGTGAATCAGACATAGAAACAACTTTTGCAGAAATAAAAGTAAGCTCTGAGTTTAACTTTTGAGTGTCATCCTTCCATGCTTTCTTTTTCCTGGTAGTGAATAAAGAATGTTCCCTTTTGACCTATGTCCCGAGAGGGCAGGGTGTCTGTCACACTGGGTTTCTGTCTGGCCCAGCCCTGGCCCTCCCAGCACGTCTCCCAAGGCCCCCGCAGCCTCCAGGCTGAGGAGGTGTGCTGGGCCTGGGCCACGGGGCTGGGCTGCGGAGCGAGCAGCTGGCTGCCTGCCCGGCCCTCCCAGCGCAGCCCTCACATGTGTGCTGCGGTCTCTGCCTGACCTCTCCATCTGCAGCGGACCACTTCCCAGAGCCCTACCAAAGCTGGCACTGCCTCTGCCAAGTTGTACAGCGACACCACACCCGCCTATAGCCCAGAACACTTGGACAGGGACAGGCCTTCTAGAGTCCCCAACATGTCCCTGCGCCTGGCTTTCCCAGCATTTGTGGAAAGGCTGTCACTGGCTAAACAAGTGGGTTTCTGCCCTAAGCTGACAGGCTGTCCTGCCACACAAGCCAGAGTCAAGACAGGAAACCCAGGCTGTGGGGTGGAGGGAAGTGTGCAAGGGAGCAGCCATGCTGATGCCTAGGCCTTGAGTCAGAGATAAATAGGTGACCTAGCAGCACCCAACCTTTGCCTCCCACCTACAATGGTGAGATGGAATCAACGACAGATGTGACCAGGCTTGCGTAAAATGGGCCCCACTGTGGAAACTTGCGGCTGCTGCTGCTTGCCTTCGTTTTATAGGAGCCGCCTCTGAGGACAGCAAGCCCAGCTCAGGGAGCTGATTTTCCCTCCCTAGGGTTTCCCCACTCAAAGCACGCAGCCATGGTCCAAAGGGCCCTGATGACCTAGCAGCCTCCAGATGTGGCTTTTTTAGAGCCTGGACCCCTTTTCCACGACCTGATACAGTTATCCCAGCTCAGGAATATTGTTTGCATTTCCACCCAGCCCAATGTCAGCTAAAAGCCACCCCTCCTTCCTTGGAAAACCCTTGCCTGGGAAGATAAACCAACAGGCCCTGGGCCATGATAAACAAAGCTCCGAGCGCTTATCGCGTGAGCCCATGTGTGGCTCTTGGGGAGCAGTGGCTC